GGTTAAATTATTATCAAAGGATCTTTAAAAATTAATATAATACATCATTTATAATTGTGTATTTATAGGGTGCAAATCATTGCTGATTGGCTACTCCAATTAGCCAATAAATTATTGTTATGTATACTTTTAACTCTAAAACATATTACCATACTTTATGATTTAGATATTGGCAAACAAATTTTAAAAAACTAGATGGTTTTTAAGTACAAGAAGAAGTATCTATATATAGAGGTGTGTGTGTGTGTGTGTGTGTGTATATAGATGTATATATATATATATATATATATATATATATATACAACTATACAAAGATTATTATTTGTCAGCAATATATAATGTAATATTTTGTGACATTATATAAGAAAATAGATTTCGTCCTATATAATTTTAAAATATTAAACATTATTTTGTAAGTAAAATCTACTCGGAAGCTGAGAAGACATTTCAGCTAACAGATATAATATTTCTATACTATAATCAGATCAAATATTATAAAAATTATTAGTAAATTGTAATTATAAGTAGTCTTTGAAAAAATGTGATAATAAATTATCGTAATAATATAAGCACTTATGTATTTTTGATTGATTTATAATTTATTCTTTATTATGGGTTAATTTAGTATTTGTTTGATCAAAATTGATAATAAAACGATTTTATCGTCCCATATTTATCAATAATTAATGAAAGTTTTTTTTTAATATATAAGCCGTTTAAAGAGACATTTAGATTCATATTGTGTTATTTAACAAACCTTAAAATATTATTTTAAAATTTATTCAATATTATTACGTAAAAATTAAATGTTTAAAAAATATTCAATGATTTAAACATCTTGTAATTAAATTGTACTTGTAAGTAAATAATTATGGGTTTCCGGAAAAATATCATAAACAATTAAATTTTTTAAGATATTATTAAATTATCTTGAAAAGATATTCTCCTTTTATCTAACTAATTTTATTTCATTGAATAGACATTGAATTAAATCCCATTCACACTATAAATTAAAAATTCTATTAAAAACAAACTTATAATACCAAATGTGTATATAAAATTTTTTTATATATTTATTCATCTTCTTACACCTCCAAAAGATATCATCATATAAAAAATATAATACTAAATTGACTATGTAGAAGAAATATTTTAATATAATTATTAATATATCTTTAGTTTTGGTATATCGAATACGTTATTGCGTGAATAGTCCTATTAAAATTTTGTTTATTATTTATTTATAGTCAAGCAAATGTAAGTAAAATTATTACAGAAAAGTTGTTTCGTCGTTACATTAATCGGTCTATTACATTACTTGAAATAAATAAATAAGAAACTTTTATTAGTATTCATTAGTTTTTTTAATACACAGGCTTCTTCCAGGTAACTTAAAATATGTCGATGTGTCACAGCGAGTAAACAACTTTCGACGTGTTCTTTAGACAATGAACTACGGCATACAAACAGTTTTAAGTTTCACATAAAAAATGTTTATATTCATTCGGTACAAAAGATAGTAAGTAATATATATCTAGGAATATTTGATTTAAAGAAAAAATTTTATTTATATATGATTGAAATATTTTTTATAAATTTTTTCTTTTATTACTAAAATTAATGACATCGTAAGAGATTTTAATTTTTATTCATAAGAAAACATTAATTGATACTTATTAAAATTTTAATATACATGAACGAATGGATTGAATTTTGGTTACCCAAAACACTTTTTTAATCAAAAGTTGAATTCAATACATATATTAAATATTAAATTGTCTAAATATCATATTTCATGCATATATATATATATATATATATATATATATATATTGTAGCTTTGAATTATTATCAAATACGATTTTTAAATATTTTTATTACAGTCATATTGATTGATCTATGCATTGAAATAAATTGACAATATAACTTGTAAATCATTATACATATTGTAATATTATATTATCAATTTAATTAAATGTAATTTACTAGTTCGAATTAGTTAGAAAACTGATACAATTTTTGGATTATAAAAAATATTAATTATGTAGATATATCGAGATGTATAAAGATAGTTTACATAACAAAAAAAGTAACTGTGTTTAAAAGCGAATATTTTAGAGCACATTTTAACGAACTTAAAAGAATAAATAATCATAAATGTAGATATAATTTTTCGCGTGCTTTGGCTGTTAGAATTTTATTTTTCACTAAAATTGTCGTATCGCAAACTTTGTAAAATTACCATACTCTATATTCGTTGTATTCTAATTTTTTCATCTTCAACTGTTTATATATATATATATATATATATATATATATATAGAAATTGTATATAAGAATGATAAAAAGAAGAAACAAATATTGGTAGTATTTATTATCCATAGCATTAACTTTTTTACTCTAAATATTTAGAAATTGTATAAATTCCAAACAAAATAATCAAAATAAACTTTGCTTATTTTTATGTTATTATAAAAAATAAAAATATAATTTTGCAAACAATTTCATAAAACATAATTTAATTGAAAACTTAAATAACAATTTAATAAATAATAATAAATAACATAGTATTACTACTATAACTAATAATTATTGTCATAATGATAATAAATATATTTTAAAAGATATTTAGTAATAATTTTACAATTTAATTGCAGTATGACAATTTCATTATTATTATTTTTCTATTATAAAATCAACTCAGTAATATTGAATTGTAAATGCATGTATTAAATGTAATAGTAATGTTTCCTCTCAACTTATTAATTTACGAAACATCAATATTTTATTATGCAAGAATAAATAACATAATTATCATGACATAAGCTAAAGTTAATATTTAATATTAAATAAGATATTCAGTATCGTTAATAAATTTCGTAATTTTTCCCAATCCAAAAATGAGTTGCATACTAATTAGACGTAATCAATAAAATACGTTTAAGTGAAATTATTTTTATTTGATATCATAAAATACATCATACATTAAAAAAAACGTATCTTTTAACTGTCATAAAAATAATATTATATTTAAGAAATTTTTTATTTGATAGTAATTTCAATTAGTACTTAAATATATAAAAAATAAAAATAAAAATTTTAATACTTATGAATGAAATTATATTTATATGTTATAAAATTGCATACACAAAGATATTATTTTCAAAACTTGAAATTGTGAAAATCTGTAATACAAATTTTTAAATATTTAATAAAATTTCATAAAACTATCTTTTATATATTTATATATGTTAAGTTCTTGATTTTATTATTCAAATCGAGAAACTGATTTATTATTTTTCTATTATTCATTTTATTATATTTCATAATTATTATATTCATAATTATTATATTTTGTATCACATGCCGCTATTAATATTTAAATAGATTAAACGTATATCGATAAAGTAATAAAACTATTTAAATTTATAACACATATATATATATATATATATATATATATATATATATATATATATTTGATTATCTAATTATTTGTCGTGGATAGAGAAAATAATCGTGGTATTTATTGAAATAAAATAAATGTTCATGGTATTTATAGATAAAAACTCAAAAATTAAGAGCTGCAACAGTATAATATTCGTTCAAAGTTTTCTTATTTGTAAATGTCAGAAATTTCCATGTATACTTTTGAATATACAGTGATTCATCAGTATTATTTAATAAAATGTATTGTTAAGTTGTTTCTCATTAAAAATAATTAGTTGTAATTTTCAAAAAAGAATTTGTTATTATTTGTGACTAATTTGTATTGACAATAATCATATTAATTCTGTATGTTCCAATGCAATCGTTCTATATTTATTTATTATAATAATAAATAAAGAATATTTTTCCAAATACATTTATCATAATATAAAATAATTTCGAAAATTATTACATTATAATCTTTATATTGAATAGCCATTTAAAAGTTATAATCCGCACAAATATAGTAATTGCTTATAAGTAAATATTATTATAATGTTATTAATTTAATAAATAAATAAATTTTTTATTTATTTTATATTTGTATATACGTCATAGCTTGCATTTAATTATTGTCGTACGGCATTCACAATTACAGGTAAAAATGAAACTGCACAAATGTTCTCAGTTTGTATAAATTCCTTTATCGGTACTACGAAAAGTAGTCAAAGCAGTAAAAAGAAATATCAGATATAAAGAAAAAAAAATAAGAAAAAACGAAGCTGTAAGTAAGAAAAATGGAAAGAGAAAGAGAGAGAAAGGAGCGAGATGAAAATAACGACCTTCCCGGCTGTCTGACATCAACTGTGGCAGTGTCGTAGAGTAGGAGGAGGGCCACTGACACACTTGGGATTTGCTCTTCGTCGGTTGTGGACTCAGGTCCCAACCAGGCCCTGGCTTAGTTCTCGACTGGAGATCGTGTGAATCGCTCGCGCTCGTCTTATCTGTGCCTCTCTCTGTGTCAAGATGAGATACTGTTGCCGGCAATGATTAGCCAACGTGTGTCACGTGACGTTAATGACTGTTTCTGATCTACTGGTCCAATTCGTCGTACGCATGTACCTGTTTAACCGGATCTGGATTTTCTTCCATGGATTCCCACACAAGCTTCGAAGAAGAGTTGGATTTAGGATAAAATCGATGCAAAATTTGTGATTCATGACTCCGGCTAACTATCAAAACTTAATTTCCAATTGACATATAAGTATCACTTTCTTATATACAGATTTTCAACATCGTCAATTTATATCTAATCAAATAAACTTAATCGAAGAATAATTTATCACGTGACCTTCTTTTCGAATGATTGACTTGATAATTATACATAATTATTATTTGAGGTTAATTTAACTGTGACTAAATTTATTTTCAACCTTCATTATTTAAAAATATAATATAGGAACTGAAGGTTATAAAGTTATCATTTACAATTTTATTGCTTGATAAGAACTATTAGTGCATTTCTGTAATGGAATATAAGTTATTTCTATACTTATCGGTTAATACTAAACGTATTTAAAAAATGTACAAAATTGTAGAAATCTTTGTTGTGATCATCTTAATTGCAGTATCGAATGGGAGCATTTGGAATTTTGAAAATTTTCAAAATTATTCTAAAATTTTTGGACTTTCACCGAATGAAAGTAATAATGAATTATGGCATGGAATTTTAAAGGATTGCAGTAAGAAGATAACTTTTTCTTGTATACAAAAGAATGCCTACAACTACCTCCAACAGACTTTTGACGATCGCGATAAAATAACCGTGTTTGATGGATTCAGTTTAACCAGAAATAATTTAGACTATGATTCTTGCATTAAAGATAATTCAAAGTGCAATGTAGGAAAAAATACCGATGAACTTCACGAGAAACCCATTTCTGATAACGATGTTAACGATAATAATATTGAAGAAGATCGAGCTATGGAGCATGAAGAAGCAATAGAAAACGAGCATCTTTCACCTTTAGAGGAAATAACGAATGCCATGAGAAGTAAAACCGTTAGATTTTTGGCTACCAGAGACTACCAGATACAGCTACCATCTTTCCTTGGCGAAGGCGTTAGCCTTCAAATTAGTCCTCGTGAGATCGACAGCAGTGGGGCTTTAATTCGAGTAGATTTCAATAGTCAAGAAATTAGTAAACAACAACAGGGACGACTCTTTTTAAAAAAAATCAGTAAGTTCCAGTTAATTCACAGTTATAAAAGAAACAAAAAAAAGAAAAAAAAAAATAACACACGTACGTGATGAAAATAACACATAAATATTTGACCCACTAGTATACATTAGTGATTATATTATCAAAATGCCTAGCAGCTATGAATAATTTAACTCAAATAAATGATACTATGGCTAATAATTATTATAAAATTAAAATTTCAATTATTTTATATATCGCTAATTTATACGAAATTTCTGTATCTATATTTATATTAGAATAATATAGCATTTTTCTCATTTTTTTAGTTATTACTTTAATTATGTAACAAAAATATTTAGTATCGTACTATTATAAATAACAATTACTAATAACAATATTATTTTTTATTACCGCTTCAGTTATCATTCTTAATCTTATTACAAATTTTAATTATTGCTTATATTTTTATTAAACATATCATCATTGGTATATAATTTACAATAGAATGACGCTATAATAAAGGCCTACCGACAATTAAATAAACAATTTTTTTTTCTAATTACCTTATTTAACATTTACGATTTTGTTTATATTACAGAAAAGCAGATACAGAACAAACTTTTAGTAGTATTTCTTGTGCTTATCCTGCTTATCAAAATAATAAAATTAAAGTTTATGTTTGTTATTCCATTCTTATTTGGTATTGGCACAGCAAAGAAATTGTTTCTTAAATTATTGCTTTTCTTCGTCCCGGCATTCGCACATGTGTTCAAACTTTGTTCAAGCTATTACAGCTCTCACGCTACGAAATATCATCATCATCATCACAAGGTAAAGATTTTAAATATACTATGCAAGATATGGTAAAAAATTAATTTTTTCAATTTTTAAATATATAGGCTATATATAATCAAAGTAGAGACATTTTATAGATTCTTACAAGTACATTTTATGCTACTATATTATATGCAATGCACACTATGAAAATATTTTATTGTTCTATCTGTAGATTCTACCTGAAAAAATTTGTGTATTAAAACATTAATACGAAGGAACTATTAATATAATCATAATTAAAAATTCACATATAATAAAATTATAATTTGGATCATAAATGTAATTCAAAATTTTGACATTTCCTTTATAATTATAGAAAAAATTTATAAATTGAAATATATATGGGTTTCCAGTATTATATTCTGTATATTATATATAAAATAGTTTATCCGTATTTCATTATGAATAATTAATGAAAACCATGACTTGAATTTTAATATTAAACATTTCTGTCGATACTTCTGTATTTCATATTGCAGAAATAACGTTCTTACATATTAATATTTCGTCGGTTTTATATTTTCACTTTATTAAGCACAGAAAATTCAATATTCTCAAGTTTTTTTAATTTACGTTTCATTTTGGTTTATTTTGCAATTAAGAATCGTAGAAAAAAATACAATATTAAAATATATATATATATATATATATATATATACATAAATAAAGTATATAATAAAATTTTATATTAAACTGCATTATTTTATAATCTATTAATTTATAAGATATTATATATCTGTGTGCATAAGACAATTTTATATGAAATAATTTCTATTTTACTGTATAAGCTAAATAACATTTTTAACAAAAAATTGTATTATAAACGAAATAATTCTAATTTTTATTCAGTTTGAGTGCTTATTTCCTTAATATAAATTCTATATTTACTACATTAATAATTATTTATTTACTCTATATTATGCGCAGATATAATAAAAAATTTATAAATCATTCAGAACATTTTTTAATAACAAAATAATTTAATAACACAAAGAAATATAAAAGTTTTATAAAATTTTAGCGTGTGAATAAATTGTAAAAACTTACTAAATTCTATATTTAATAATATTTAATCATTAAATTGTCCATGAAAAGATATTCATTATAGTGTAATAGGTTCTCCATATTCTTATAATATTGTTCAATCGAATTGGTACATTTTTTCATGTATAATAGCGTAAAATTTATGATTTTATAACAAATCTATTTAAAATTTTTTAAAAGAATTCATGTAATATACCACCCAAATATGTTTATAATTTATACTTCGATGTTCTATTTACATTTTTCACGTTACATGAATTTTCAAATAGATTATTAATATTTATATTACAGTCATTAAAAATTACACTAATTTTTAAAGTTAGTAATTAATTATAGTATTAAATTAAATCTATTCGTAAATTGGCATTGAATAATAATTTGAAAGATTATATTTATACGCTTCCGTTGAATATTTTATTGGCAGTAAAATATTTTTATCAAATCCAAAGAATCTCTGTGCATCACCTTGCGTAAGCCATATTCTATATTCAATGCGATTTCTCAAATATTTAAATGAAAATTGTTAATAGTAACATTCTTTTATTATTTATATGAAGAGCTTTACATTTATGGTAATCGAAATATTAATTTTAAACTAATATATAAGTGCACAGATTATCACTATATTATTATAATATAATGCATAGTAGGAGAAAATAGTAAATAAATTTTATTTTTAGATTGCTCATCATCATCATCACATTCCGGTACCGGTTCCAGTATCTTATACAAAACCCGTCTATTATGATCATCCACCACCTCATTCGCATATACTAGAAGATGATTTTCCCGGATATGACTATGCACATCCGCATATCCAATACCGCAAAGACATCGAAGAATTAAAAGAATGGGGTATAGAACCTTATGATGAATCTTATGATCAAATAGCGCCTCAGTCGGGTGTTATTTATCCTGGACCAACACCACCAACGAATCCAAATTTATTACCGAAATTCGGAAATACCTTTGGCATACCACCGTCATCATTTCCAATTAATTCTAAGCCAATGAGTTCCTCAGGAGTGTCGGATAAGTTACCACCATTACATCTACATTCACAGAATCTTGCTTACTCGGGATATGGGCCATCATTACCAGCACCAATACCTTCTCCTGGCAGACAACCTGTATCAGTGAATTCACTTCCTGTAGGAGTTGTCGTATCATCCGCATTTAGTTCTACGAAGCATCCGAGTGTTCAACCTGGAAAACAGCAAGGTTTCAGTAATAGTAATGATTTCTTCATCCAACAGCAACAGCAGCCTCGGCCAGTATTTAATCAGCAGAGACACGATCAGAAGCCATCTATGTCTCAAGTTCGAGGTAATTCAAGACAAGTCATTGTTAAATGCTTATTGAAAAAAAAAAAATATTTATTTTAATGAACCAAGAAGCCAAAATATTTAAAGTATAGGAAATTAATATTTTTAGTAATTGGCTATAATATTATAAAACTCAGCAGATATACGTAATAAAAACTTGTTTAATTACGTTTGTGTATTAGCTTACATTAAAAATTCGGTAATTTTCATTATACAGAGTATTCATTGTACTATACGACTATTAACATTAACAATGACCGTAATAATAATAACGAATAACGATAATAGTAAATAAAATAAAGTAAATATAAAAATTATCAGATATTTTGATCCTGATATATTATTTTGATAATAGAGAATGTAAAACTTAGTTTTTACGATTACAAGAACAATATCCGTTGAAATATCGTTCAACAAATTGAGAAATTAATTTAATTTGTGCTAGAAAAAATGATTGTTCCGTATACCATAATACTCCTTGTATATAAATTTCTACTTTTACGATTTACGAACTACTTGCCTCGATATTTCCAAATAACATTTACATTTCTGATAATATATTCGTCAATTTACATATTGATCTCGGATAAAAAGAAGAAAAGAAAATAAATAAATAAATAAATAAATAAATAAATAAATAAATAAATAAATAAATAAATAAATAAATAAATAAATAAATAAATAAAATAAGCAAATACTGCAAATATGTTAGGTTATGCTTAAATGTTAACATATTTCTATTAAAAATTCTAGCAGTAGCCTTGCCGTCGCATAAACCCTATGATGACGACTTTTATGGACCAATTATTGAGAGACTGGATGAAATATTCAGCCAATTGAAGTTCCTGGAAGAAAGTTGCCGCGAGAGACTCGTTTGTAATATGTATAAGAATCCAACGCTATATTCGCCCCATAGCAATCTTGTGTCCAATGAATTGTCAAGGTATATAAAGAAATTTGATTGAAATTGTCAAATTCAATTGATGACTTTTATTGTATTGATAAATTTATTAGAATACTTTGCAGAGAATGTACATTCTTAAAGTGAAAGCAAATGCAAAATTGTCTCTTATGTGATTCAGTTTAATTGGAATAGGTCACAAATGAAAATTCATCAGAATTACTAACTTACTAAATAATTGTCTGATTAAAATATATATTAATTTGCATTAACATAAAGAGAAAATTGAATTCAACTAATAAATTTAAAAATACACGTACAAATATATACAATATGCAATACTAATAATAACAATCAATAAGAGTCAAAAATATTCGAATGTCATTTTTTTTTTTACGATTTTTAGGCACATTATTCGTTTACTCGCTAATTTCTTCTAAAAGATATTATGTGAATTAATTTAATTTATCTAGAATTAATTTCGCCTATAATCGACACATTTATACAAAAGAATGATATTTTTTAGGAATACCATAGTATTTCAAAAAAGTAATTAATCTAAGCGTCTAAATCTCATATAACCTAATATATTGCTTATTGCAAGTCCTTGCACATTATAATAATCAATAAAATAATTATGTTGAAATTGTACGTAGTATTAAATAAATTTACAGCTTCATAAAACGATTTCAATGAAGTGTTAGTTACGTTAGTTAGCGCGTTACGTTTAAATTTCCTCTTGAGCGCCATAGCACTGATACGGAGAAAAAAATCTTCTTCAAACAGATCGCGCCCTTCTCTCTTCTCTCTCTCTCTCTCTCTCTCTCTCTCTCTCTCTCTCTCAACAGCTTCTATATTTTTGGATAAGACGTCGCGGTGCAGTGGAGAAAGGCACAACCTACGAGCCCAACTTAAATTCGCGCTCGTCGTCCAATTGGGTCATCGAGCCCGTACAACTGCGTTCTCCTCGAATTCCATCCTATTCATTTTATCACACATTCATATTCTTTTAATCTTTGTCTACCTCATTTGTAAATTATTGTTGATTTAACAAATTATATCTTCCATGTACCTTTACCGACATTAGCGCTTGGTGGCTGGTCATGTACATTTTTTAAACAGTTAGCCCGAAAGTATTTCCGGGTTTCACTCCGAATTATACTTATGTATGCAAGCGAGTGACCAAAATTATATATCCACCGGTGACTTAGAATTTCTTTATTGCATAGCGTAATGAGGCTAATAATGTTTTGTTACTCGAGTGGCAGGGTTTTCATTCTAATTAGGGTTTCCTAAATATTTGAAAATTAATTGAGGATGTGGATGATATTAATAATACATTTCCACACACGCATACACACACGCACACACGCGCACACACACGCGCGCACACACACACGCACAAATTCTTCTGTTATTTAAATACATAAATAACGTAATGTATAATTACATGCACGAAATATTTATATTTATCGTAGTAATTGTTATCCAACATTAGTATCAAGCATTAATAAGCGTAAATAATTTATTTGCATTAATATTCAGGGAAAGGACTATTTTGAAAAAGATTGGTTATTATTTCATAAAATTTGTAATACAATTTAATGAAATTTCGATACTGTATTAATTTTTTTTATTAAAATTTTAATTTGAAAATTAAAATTAAATAAAAATTTTAGGTTTAAAATTTTCATTTAAATTCAACTAGCATTAAATATTTATATTATAATAATTATTTTGTCAATTAATTAATGTTTATAACTTAAACAATTGATATTTCATTCAAATATATCATATCTCGATATTTACAATGAATATAATGAAAAGCAAATGAGAAAATTGTTCGCAGAAAGTATGATCTTTTAAACTTATTAATCATTTATTCATAAATTTATTTATCCATAAATATGGGACGTATCATAAAACTAAAAACAACGCCTAAATATATTTATACTAAAGTATATATTTTACAATTGCAGAGATCCGCAAGAATTACAACAAGTAAATTCCATTTCCGGTTCCAGCCAACGGTTTCTCAGATACCTTAATGCCGCACGATTAGGTCAAGACGGTGGCGACTGTTTGCGAGCGTTTAACTGCAGTAGCAGTAACAAAATTAATTAAAAATGCATCCCATTATTAGCTGAATAACATAGATTTGAAATTATAAGATGAAATAAGTTATAATAATGTTTCATTATATTTTTTTTTTATATTTTTAATATACAAGGATCCTAAATTTATCTTAATGTAATTTTTAATCTAATTGTTCTTTTTTTTTTTTGTTGCGTAAAAATTTTATAAATTAATTTTTATTTCTTATATGAAAAGTGACTTTCGTTATGAAAATACTAATTAATGCGAATTATCATGTTGAACAATTTAATTTGAATTATTAATTATTCTTTGAAAATTATTTGCGGTTGGGAAGAAACGAATCTATACATAAGTCAAAGGTTTAGCCTAGGTATGTTTGTATGTATGGGTATAAGCGCGTATGCATTCTCGTATGCATTCTTGTATGTGCGTATAGATATTTATGCATAATAGTTGTATTAAAAATATCCGTTCTACAAAATATGCATTTTATATATAAGGCAAATTTACTATTTAGTCTAGAGATTTGATAAAAATATGGAGATAACACGAGGATATCAATTTTTCTCTTTTTTTTCTTCTCTTTGTCGTATATGACATTAACAATTTATTACAATTTAATTTTTCACAAATATTCAAAGGCCAATAGTAAATACTTATTAAAGAAAAATATTTGAATTTACCGGATGAAGAAGAAATGCTTTCTATGTAATTCATAGAATATTGATATTGAAATATAGATGTGGTTATCAAATGTATAATAATATATAATTATTTATAAAGATAAATTTATTAAAAAATTATTTATTAATATTAAATTATTATATCTTATAAGTAGACCTAATTTATAGCTTGGATTTACTTCATTTGTTACTAAGCCTCTGAGTGCCATTCCCATCCATTGAAACTAGGACAAAATCGTCCACGACACAAAGAAGGAAACGAGTGAAAATTTTCTCATATAAAAAAGTTTTGCATTGCTTTTTAATGATTGTATTAAGTTTCAATGTATATTATTTATTGTTACATAACTTGTGTATAGGTGTATTTGTGTATATGTGTTCGCATGTGCTATTATTAATGTACAATAAACTTCTAGACAAAAAACTATAATTATGATTCCCTTCGATTCACTTCATCAGCATCGTATTCAACGATATTTATGTTTAATGTATTATATAATATAATAATGTTTTTAAATTAAAATTTTTATCAACCAATAATATTTCTGTTTTAAGTAAAACATTTTTTAATATTAATTATTAATTTAATAAATATTGCAACTGTTATATACATACAGGTTAGAATGTAATCAACCTATTTAAAGATTTCATAAATTACATTTTCACTCATTCATTTACAATTATCATATAATTTGCATATGTACAAAGTGAGCCAATTAAGCATAATTTGATTTATTCATCAATATAAATTTCTATTTTTAATGAATTTCGAATAAAGTTCTTGTAGTTATTTAGATATTTGAGTAATATATTAATTATTGATCATCCCATATTTATATTGTTATAATTATTGTATTTGTAATTACTATATCGAAGATCATGTACTCATTTATACTTTTAGTGATATTGAAATATCCTGAAGATTGTAAAGTAGACATTAAAAGAATATGCTTATTAAGTACAATTAACGGACCTATTTACTGCAGGTAATAGTACAAGAGGGATAGGCGAGAGAGAGAGAGAGAGAGAGAGAGAGAGAGAGAAAATCTAAGGACATAGGATAAACATTACTCATTTCTTTATTCTGCTGTTTCAATTTATGTATGCATATTCGAATAGATGAAATTGTTCAAAATTATTATAACTCGTGTTTATAATAAGTACGTTTATACATAAAATAAATTGTCGTATCTGTTAATTTCATCATGACCTCTCAATAACGACTGCCTAAAATCGAAAAATTTTTTTAATAATATTAAACTTTCCCATGTTTTCTAGTTTATGAGTAAGTACGGTTAATCTTTTATTGAAAATGAATGCTGTAATCGCGTAGTACTCAATAACGGTATAATAGAAAAGGGAGATGATTGTTTATAAGACTTTACATCGATTCATCATACTTAACAAATAAATTTGAAGTTTAGTATCAAATTTGTGTTTCATATATATTTTCAAATACACCCGTGCAATTCTCTTGAATTAATTCGTTAAGTAAATTATTAGAATGTACAACATTTACACTAAACATATATAATCAAAAAATGTTTATTTAAATAAAACTTTAATTATTCATTTACTTTAAATATTTAACATGTCAGTACTATATTTATATTCGAGTATCGGAAAATTTTAATCACATCATTGTTATTTCATTGAATATAATTTCTAGGCTCGATATTAATTTTGAAGTCATCAAAAAATGTCTTCCTATTCAATGTCCAACAATCTGCTTAAAATGATCGATCCAATTAAATATTTATAAAATTGAATTAATATTAAACATTCAAAAGATATACAAGAAATATAAAATTAAACAAAAAATTTATAAAAATAAGAAAAATATAAATATTTAAATGTATATGAATATTTTACACTTACTATTATACAAATGCCGTTAACAACAATGCCACAATTACTATTCAATAAATATTAAGGAATGACAATTGAAAATCAAATACAGTTATAAAGTAATAAAATAACATATTTATCTATAATGTAAAAATAATACATAATTAGAGAATAATATTCAAGACTTGGCTCATTCGACAATGCTTTGATTTCTAAACAAGACCGTCTATAGTACAAAACCAAGTGACGAGTGCTTTACTAGAAACAGCTCCATCGGTTTACAATAGGAGCACATGCTTAATTTCATTCTTAATTTTATAGGAGTACATACCTAATTAACTAATAATAATATTGGATAATAAATGAATATGATTTTAGTAACTGAATATTGAATAAAATCATTTATACATAAATTAGAATTTCAATTGGTTTTTTGGTAGTAATATTTTTATATTAAACAGAGTCAAAATATATTCAGCTACTGATTGAAATTAGATAGTTCCATATTTGCTGGAATAGTAAAACGAATGTCATCATATAAATTCATAGCTTTAATTGCATATGTAAGTAATTGAACATAATTGAAAATATGATAAATACATGAAAAAGAAGAATAGAAGAGATAAATAATATTCCTTTCTATTGTAAATAAGGTTTAAATAATAAAGTTATTGCTTATTAATTGTTAACATTAACATTTTACATATTAAATATAAGTATTTTATAATAATTTTATAATACAATAATTATGTATTTTTGTAGTATCTTATAAAAATTAACAACATTATCGCTAATACTTGTCTAGTGTATTGAAGCAAGATTTTTGCTGGACACTACGTTTACATATTTATATTTTATTTATTAGTATTTTTATCTTAGAGGCTTACCAGCATCTATTACTGTTTCTCAAATATTTATTTCATATAAAGAATGATACAATTTTTTACTCAATTATTTTTGGATTCAATGTATTATCTAGTAGATTAAATATTTCCCATAAAGTAAAACATTAGATATTTGAATAAATTAAAACGATAATTGAAAAGTCAAGTATATAAAAATAATGAAAAACATATAAAATAAATAACATTCGTTATTATTCATAATGGACTTAAGAATTGTGCATTAATCTTTGACCATTAGAAAATATATTATTATTGAACGTAGTGAATAATAAAAATAATTATAACCTATTCAAATCGAAATTATATTTTCAAATAGAATTAATAAGTTGACGTAATTATTATTTCAGAAAATTACGTATAAAATAGAGATCAAATTTATACGAGTATGATATTGATAAATCTATTTTTCATGTTTAAAATAATCTTAAAACGAGCTGATTATAGATAAAATGAGAGATAAATTTAAAAAATAAGCCATACTAGTAGTTTGATGTTTTTCAAATATATTTTCACCCTTCTATTCGTGTATTTGCTCCAGAAAACAAGTACACATATAGTCAGGTATAATATTTTATTAAGATTATTTTCTTCAAAATTCAAATAAATGTTTGGATTATAAATGAAATTTTAATAGCTCATCTAAACAATTTGACCTTTCTTAATGTTCGACCTCAAATATTGTTACTACAGAGTAGTCGACGGAAGTAGCGTTACAATTGTTCATCGAAAACGAAATTTCTTTCCTCCACTTCACGAGTCTGTCACCAATACTAAAGACACTACCCTAGATTACATACCATACAGTACTTTCTTCTTTCCTCTTTAATGTCCACCTCTGTGATCACGTCTTTAATTTAGATTCAAGGGACGTAGTCACCGACAAAGGTCCCATCGCTAGCTATAAAGCTGGCTGGTCCAACGTTTCCGTGTCATTCGGTGTTTGGCCTCGCGAATCGATCAGTTGGTAGATTGTGCGCGTTTTTTTTTTTTATACCAAAGCCATTATGAAGATCGTCGATACTATTTTCATAGGGATTACCATAGTATGCCTTACCAGTGCTGATGTCACTACTGGTCAAACAACCGTAGATGTACTGAGGGGTATTTATTACAGGTGATTGAATAATTCATTTATTAGAAAATTAGTGATATCGTGTCATTAAATGCTCAATTTTTTTTCTTCTTTTTTTTTTTCATTTCTTATATAAAACATAATTTATCCAAATTTATTAATTATTAGTTGCCTGATTTTTCTAAAGGATAATTAATTTTTAATTATTAATAAATTGTAGATGTTCAAATGACGAATCGATGTTGTCTTGCTCCAAGCCCAAAATTCTTAGGTATCTAAGTGCCGCGGCTGAGCAAGACCGACTTCCAATCACCCAGGATCTCTCAATCGTACGGTCACGAAGAATGCCCGAGGATAGTGACATTGAAAATTACTACGAGACTCAGAGTTCCGTCGACCCCATAAGAAAAGAACAACTTCGCTCCTTAATGTTGGAAAAGTTAGATTCGTATTTATCAAGCCACATTCTCGAAGCCAAACTTCCCGAAGAAATTGTCAGCTCTGATATCGTACCCAGATCATTGATTGAATCTGTGCCAAAAACCATCAGCATTCCTCTCAGCGACTCCCCTAACGGAAATGGTAAGCTTCTACTAACTTTGGAACAAAAAAACAAAAAAGAACAAATAATAAAAGAGAAAAAGAAGGATAACAAAGAAAAAATTCATTCAATAATTTTTCAAATTATTATTGAAGAGCCACTGTATACAATTTATTAGATCCTTATAACATCACGAAATTGATTGAGATGAATATATTTTTTAGTATAGTTGTTGCAAAATTACACCGTGATAATTAAAAAGCTCTACCATGATATTTCTAAATTTTAATATAAATACGCAGTATTTAATAGAATATGTTTATTTTTATTAATTGCTAAAATTTAATTCATCAATAACAATCTGAAACATTTCATTTTCCTAACATTTTCATAAATAATTATTATTATTGCAAGCATTGCACTAAAATGATTAAAAAATAATTGAATATACAATTATTCAGTACAAATAAGGCTAAATAGAAAATCAAGCTTTACAATAAACGAAATGACGCTCTCGTATCTTACAGCCCACATATCAAGTAAAAATTTGAAAGTCTGCACGGTAGGAATTAAAGGAATTATTTAAAATTTAATTTTGTTAATAATGGCTGTTAAAAATTTCGCGTAATGTTTGACAATAAGTGGAAAATACTCGTAGCCGATAAATTCTGATTTAATTCTCCGCATTACAGGACGAGGCTTCGTAAAGAAAGTCATGATTCCTTTCCTCCTCGGTCTGAAATTCAAGGCCACAGCTCTGGTACCTTTAGCTTTGGCTCTGATTGCTCTTAAGACATGGAAAGCTCTCACTCTGGGTCTGCTGTCACTTGTTCTTAGTGGAGCGATGCTTATTTTTAAATTGACAAAGCCAAAGGTTGCCTACGAGGTCTTGCATTACGGACATCCACCCGTGGAGCATCCACCACATTGGGACACCGCGCCACATGGGCCGTACAGGGCCTATAAAAAATAACTGAATATATCCACGATGTTATGATTAATTTATTTATTATATTATTTATTGAAATGGTTTGATACCATGGCCTATGATTTAATAAAATATTTTTAAAAATATCTTATTTATAATTAAATTCTTGTGTCGATGTTATTTACCGTCTACTATCAAAAAAATGATTATAATTTTATGAAAAATGTGTCTGATATGCTAATATTACGTGAACAAAGACTATTTTTACTATAATTATAATTAATTACAATCGATTGAAATGGCAAACAAATTGGTGATTTATTGATAATTAAAGCCTTTGCTTATATATAAGAAATAACGATGTAATTGTTTGCTTATTCCTGCTCGGATAATGAAACACGTAGCAAGTACTTACGAATAATGTAAAACGCTTGAAAGATACTTGCATTTACTTAATTTGTAAAAATGAACAATTGTAAATAAGAGATCGCTTACTTTACTTGCTACATATAAAAAGTAAAAATTCTTAAAACGAAAAAATCTCTTGTCGCTTAAATACGTGTTGTAAACAATCAGTAATCTCTATATGACAATAGTATCGGCTATTGCTGTATATATTAAAAAATATTTTTGAGTTGGAAAAGATGTGTATGCCTACATTAGATATGAGCCTACTGGAATTCGATTGTTTTATTTTCATTTCCTATCACTTTCTAATGCATAATAGACTAAGGTTTACTTTAGATTATTAAATATATATTTATATATATATATAAATATATCATGATAAAAGAGATATAATTAACCTAGTGGGCAGCAAAACATTAGAACGACACATGTATGTGGCTCGATAGCGGGAAACGAAAGTCGCACGAATTACGTGTTATGAATTGCCAACAATGTGATCAATATAATGTTATTATACGAAGCACATGACTGAAAACGCGACCTGGCTTTAAATAAAAACTGATTGCAAATATCCTAAGAAGATAATGTATTTTCTTTCTAATTGTTACCCCCGACATTCAATTTATAGAGAAAAGAATTATACAAATAAGAAAGAATTAATTCCTTAATATTACACAACTTATTATTCGCATATTTAGTGCTTATACAACGAGAAACAATAGAGTTTAAAATTAAAAGACTAATTTTATTGAATAAGTTATTAAATTTTTATATAAAGTTTTTTCTAATTTGATATAGGCATTAAAAATTGGATTTTTAATATTTTTGTGGAAATTATTATTTATAAGATTATTTCATTCACGATTCAGAATTTATCAATACTAGAGAAATAATAAATATAATCATTGATACGTTTTTAATTGAATATTTTTTTAATATTTAATTTAATTTTTAGATGCTGTATTGACCTTTATTGTTTTATTTCAAATTTCTATTTAATTAAATTCTACTATATGTAATTTATGTATAATCCACTATATAATTTAAAATTAAAAGCGACTTTGAGCATCATTTAATATTCATAATAAAATACATATTTTTTCAAATTAAAGATGAAATTATTTATTTTTAGAATAATTGTATACACGGGATTATAACATTTCTTATTATAATTGAAAAAAATGAATTTGTATTCGGTATTATAGCTGAATTAAAAAAGTAAGATGATATATCATATATTGTATATGATAATATAACACTCAATTGAAAGTTATTAATTAAAATATTTAATTCCACTGATCTATTATCGTAAAATATACGCTAGAATATTTCCTTTTTTTTCAATATATAATAAAAAAACCTATGTACTATATCGATTCGTAAAGGATAAAATTATTTATAAAATTTTTTATTAAATTAATAAATATTAAAAAATATCTTTTCCATCAAAAATAAGATTTATTGTATTATTCTACGTGTCGTACGTAAATCACGTACTCTTTTAATATATAGAGGCAATCTTTAATTCTATAAAAATCTAATATAATTAATCAATTTGATATAATAATTTTAAAATCCTTTAACAACCTATAATTTAATATATAAAACAACTATGCGCTCATTTAGTATACAAGTAATCCTCCCAATGCGTACTAAATAGGATCCTATTAAGAGCGCTACACCATTCCTATATGGAAGTGGGTTAACTACGCTAAAAAATGTCTTATTACACTTTGAGACTTTGATGTACTCATCAATAGTAGGATAAATAATTGTCGTACGCGTCGAATTCTTATACGCATACTGTGAAAGTAAATTCCAATTGGAATTCATCAGAAATCATTTAGCTATCCTCATTAATAAACGTCATAAGATATAATTCACGGAAGTGATCAATTTTCACCTCCTAAATATGGTTAAATAAAATAAAGAATAATAATGTTTTTTATGGGTAATTTTAAATGATATTGAGTATCTAATGAGTATATTATTATAATTATTACTGAACTCGGTACTGAATACAAAATTCAGCAAAGTCAATGATTAAATTAATCAATAGGTCAATAAATGTTAACCTGTCGTATATTATATAAATTACGAAAGAATCAATTTTAATATTATTAAATAATTACCAAAAATCAATTTTGTCTTACATTTATATTTTAGTTATGATTTCGAATACATTATAATATCTACATGCATACCAACGCGCACACACGCGCATATAAGTTCATCTCAATAAAATACTATTGTTCATATATCAATTGATTATCAACACAAGAATAGTACAAATAGGGATAATATAAATAGTTTAATAATACAATGATAATCTACAATAGATTAATTTCAACTACAAAGTAAAATATAATACGTAAATAATATATAATAATATTCACTTAACTTCTTCTACAAATGCAAATTATTGTGACATTGTATTAAAATAAAAACATTTAATTAGCTTCGATATGTTGCCTTATTTCAATAGATTTACTATCACTCATTAGAGCTGTTATTTACGATTGAATGCACTATTTATATAGTTAAACCGAAATCATAATGAATTAATAATAATTAATTATAATTATTTTCAAGTTAATTTAATATATAATTTAAAATAAGACTAATATTTATACCAGCTTAATGTTCATCAGACATACGATCAATATATTATAAACTTTTTCGATCTTATATTTTATGATTATTATCTTTTGTATTATTATATAAATATTTGTGTGAAATAATAGTGTTTAAAAGTTATTAAATTTACTTGTCTATAGTTATTTAAATTAGCTTGTTAAATTATTTATGTAAATTAGTTGTCAAAATAGTTTTTATGATTATTAAAATAATAAAAAATAAACAGAAAAATAAATATTTCATATTGATAATTTATTTGAATAAGAAATACATTACAAATTTTATAAATAAACAAAATCATGTAATGACGCAATCAATCATTTTATACGTTCATAATTTATTCAATGTATGGCTTTTTCGCATTTCAGCATACAAGTTAAATATTATGATTAAAAAAATTTAAATAGAACTTTGGAAATTTCATAAATGAAATAATTTGAAGATAGGAATTTCACTTTGAATATCTATCATTTAAATTTATTAGTTTTCATTTTACCTGACAATATAAATCTTTAAAAGACATGAAATTTATTGCTCGGTTTTTCCAATATTTGCAGTTTAAAATCGCAGTTTCAAAAAAAGTACACGTTTTAATATAAATATTTATGTATTGTGTTAGTGTGATGATATTGTCAGTTTGTAATCCATTTAAATTATTATACTATAAGATAGTACTGGAGCTTTCAATTGTAGTAGTCACACGCCGTAAATGCCAAAACATAAGAATATGTTCTTTCCTCATAATCTTTATGTGATATTCAAATATCAGTTTCTTTCCTGATAATTTTAATAAAAAAAAAAAAATAAATAAATAAATAAAAAAACAATAAAAAATCTTTCTCTCCGTTTAAAATCGAAAGTACTGACGATCAAATAAATCATCAATAATCCAAAACTTTTCTCTTTAAATTGCATTCCACCAATGCCTTATGAATCCGTATGAACATAGTTATAAATGCAAATAGGTAGCTACAGAGACCCAGAAAATGTCTACCTCCACAAGTCTCTACTACTTTTTTTCGTCCGTATGTCCGGCTGGTGTATCGGTTCACGATTTCGCACGCGAAACACGTTTGTACGCCTTAGAAGCCTCAATATAATCGAACTCTACCATAATGGCTGAACGAAAAGAAAATTCGTAGCAAGGAGCAGCGGTACAAGGTGCCAATGCATGGTAAAGGTGGGGGAGCGTACTAGAGAGCTTCTTACGATTCACCTGCAATGCTTTCGGGTTCCCCGTATAAATAGACACTTGCTCGAGCCAATTCACATCAGTCACCGAACCGAAACTGTCGCGACCTCGGGAGTATTTGTGAACACTATCAGAAGCGCACCCTCGTATTCATCATGAATTCTAAGCAAATTATTTTGGTGTTGTGCGCTGCCATTGCACTCGCCACTGGACAACCAGCAAAGAATGAATTCTGGAAAGGCACAAGTATGGATGCGATGGTTGAGCAAACGAAAACTGAGTGTGCTCAAAAGAACGATGAAATTTCCTGCATGAAATTCAAGGTTCTAAATCTCCTCGACCAGCTTTTCCGTAAGGATAATTTCAAGGTATATACTTATTAATTTCCCTTTTATTACCTTTAATATCTACATTATATATATATATATATATATATATATATACACAGTATATCATTGATTTTATCCGGTGTACGGTGGTACAAGGCTATTGCAATATTATTATGTAGAAATATTTATATATTTGAAGGTATAGATGAGGCATTGGTAGTTAAAAGACGCCAATTAGCTAAAAATTTTTGCCTATTATTGCTCTTTATTACTCAAACTATTACTCATTTATTATTTTTATTTAATTATAAATATGCAATCGATCAGTAGTTGATCGAGTCCCGTGAATACTCAATTATTGATGAATATTTGGAAATGAATAAAACGGATTATTTAATATTAAATATTTGTCTAAATATTTGATAATGTGCATAGATCTGGTTGCCATATAGCCTCAATATTAATATTTTATTGCAAATAAATCGAGGTACTGTAATATGTCACTTGTTTGAACGTTTGTATGGTATTTTTCACAGGTTTCCGAGACCGTCGAAGTCACTCGCAACTCGCACCCCGCTGACGAATTGTCCGGACGTAGTCTTTTGAACGATGGCTCATTCCTTGAGACGCTTCGCACCTATCTTACTTCTCATGACGTAACCTTCAAGTTGCCCTTCGAATCATCCGTTAAGGTGTCCTCTCGCAATATTGACGATGACGAACTGAACTTCGATGTTAAATTCGGGCAAGGTCGTGCCGTCGAAGCCCGCAAATCCAAACTGAAGAAGGTCATCATCCCCATTCTTGTATTTGTTCTGCTCAAGGCCATGACGCTCATCCCCCTCGCCATTGGTGTACTCGGACTGAAGGCCTGGAATGCCCTGCAGCTCTCTTTCTTCAGCTTTGTTGTTTCCGTTGGTTTGGCTATATTTCAACTTTGCAAGAAAATCGCCGCGGACGGACATGCCGCGCCGATTGCTGCCCATGGCCCTTGGGAATATCAAGCAGCTCAGTACAGATCGTTCGATAATACACCAGAACTGGAATCTGCTACTGCCCAAGATCTTGCCTACTCCGCTTATACTCAGGCTTAATTGGATTTAATATCTCGAGATCTTTATTAACTTTTAAGGGCTACGCTGAGTCGGAGACCACGAACTTTTGTAAAATATTCTCTTCCTATTTTTATCCGTTGTCTACTCTTGCACTTTATTTAATAAATTATTTTATGCAATGTTACGCCTTTTGTTTTTATTTTCTGTTCTATGAATCTTTGTTCCCATTAGAATATAAAGTAACCTATTATGTCCAATGCATGAAACAATGAGCAAATGTGTTAAATGTAATCAGCTCTATTATATCTATTATCTTTTGCATAATTCCGACACTATTAATGCATAATTATGTACTTATTAATTTGAGTATATAAATCAATAACTAATGTGTAATAAATAATTTTGAATGAATATTATTGCATTAAAATGAGGCTTAGAGATAAATTTGAGATTTTTCACAAATATCATACTCTGTTCGTCATTATTCCATAATAATTTAATTAAATTTTAACACTTAATTCCCATTTAATAAAGAATTGTTTCTATTATACATTTCAAATTTTTTAATAAATTTTGATTAACGTATTTAAGCATTAAATAAATTATAAATAGGATAATTTAAAAATCAATGGTATACTTAAGAGTAATATATTTTTACGATGTTAAATGCAATTTTCTTATATTGATTTATCAATCCTAAGTGTATATTAGAAATGTATTAATAAAAAATGTTATTAAAACTTGTAATAGAACTATAAATCAATTCCTATGCGCTTACGATTATTGTTATATTAATTTATTGTTTATTATTGTCTTCTATTTTATTTTAAAATTATTTGGCGGAAATTAGTATCTTTTATAATCAATAGCTAAATATGTTACATGTATATACAGTTATTATTAAATATTATTTACCTTTTAATCATTCATTAATTTTTTTAATTTATTGATGAATAGAGCAATGCATTTATGTAATGAAAAATCTTTCAAAAAATTCTGGATTAAAAAAATTTATTAAAAATTCATCTCTATTCTATGACTTAATTGATTTTAAGCTAATAACTGCAATATTTGATTTTTTCATAACTTTTAAATATTTCATATTTAATTGGTATAAAATAATTACCGCAATCTTAAATTTTACATTCACATTAGGATTTATATACCAAGATTGGCGATTAAGTTAATATTATTTATATAAATTATTGGGATATTTATTTGAAATATTTTTCATTGTATATTTGATATCGTTTTTATAATTTAAATATTTTAATGAGAGAAAATATTTAACAATACAGAGTGCAATCTTTATCTAATTTGGAGTTGAAACTAGTCATAATAAAATGATTTATATTATTATTTTGTATTTTTTATTGAATAATTGAAATTTGCATTACACATTCTTTTATTTACTGTAAACATTCCTTGTTAATATTAGTTAAATTATTTTACGAATATTATTGTAAATTTGATAATGAATATTATTGTAATCGTGAGAATTGAAATTGTATAAATCGTGCTCTTATAGAATATTGAAATCATAAATATTAATGAATAACATAATATTAAAAAAAAAATTATCATAAAATTGCTCATTATTTATTTTTAAATTAACTGAAAATATCTAAGCATTTGAATTGAAATAAAAATACGTGATTGGATTAACAGTTTAACCAAAGGTTATAAAATTTCTTAAAAATAATTTCTTCCGTACTTGCCCTATCATAATAAACATAGACTATAGTAAATTATAATTGCATTCCACATTACTTTTTAATGTAATAATTTTTAATAATTTACTTGTAATTGAACTCAGAAGATAATTTTTCAAATAAAATTTGCAAATAAGTGTATCTGATACATAATAAAAATACTATAACAAAAATAAAAGTCAAATACATTATACTTATTTGTGAAACTTCATAATCAAAATGACATATGGAAACTTCAGCGATGAAAGTTAAACGGTTAAAAGATAAAATAGAATATTTTATGGAACCAACTACTCAATACTATCGAATAGCATTAATTATAATCCGTGTAAAGCTACTGTGAGTATAAAATAAAATTTCTCAATTAATAAACAGATACTTGAACTTTAATGGGGAAAGGGAATTAACCTACAATCATAAATTCATGTAATCCGAAATATCTTTTATTACATATATTTATTGTAAATTGAAAAATTTTATATAATTTTTTCTTTCGCTCAATAAATTCACTTATTAATTGAATTAATATAAAATGTGAATTAAAAAGTTTAATAGTTAGCTTAATAAACTGTAAATAAAACAGGACGGTATTTTATTCTGCAGTGTTGTATGCTAACTGAGAAAAATATGAATAACTTTTGATTTCATTTTTGCTCCGTCTTAACTAACCCGTTAAAAAGAAATATTTCTACTAATGGTTAGGAAAGTGTCATAATTAACATTGCAAATTTATAAAAAAAAGAAAGAAGCGTTTGCTGTATGAAATGATAAAATGATGTTTATGTTTATTTATCAATTTTTAATTGAGCTTCCTTTAATTTTTTCTTCCTTTAATAATATTAAAATCTCCCGTGGTACTTTTGATAAAAAGCGTACGCGTTCTTATTATATACTGACACGCGCGCACACTAGCGCACGAGGACAATTAAATCTTTCCGATTTGTGGTTGTTTATGATAATGTCACAGGATATCGACGATAAACAGACAGAAGTAACAGCAGACGCAACTGGCGTGCTCAAACGCCTGTCACACATCATCCATACCAAGCGTTACCTTTGCGCGCAACAGTTCCGTTTCCCGCCGCATGCCTGCACTCATACGCCTCAGCGCGAGTGAAATTTAAATATGATTTTACTTCTATCGCCGATTCACAGCATGTGCGACCGAATAACATAGATATTTCGGTTGGAGCGGTGGCGGCATTGGGTGTTGAGGGGCAAATTAAATAAAAGGGTCGGGCCACTCCTCTACCAGTCGCAGTTCGATCGCCGATTGTGTCTCTCCGTCAACCGCGTCGGTAGCCAAGTACCACTGCTTACACAAAAGGGCGAAATAAAATTACAAAATAGTAAACAAAATTTTTTAAATTATATCAAAATGCGCTCCCTAATGGTCCTTGGTTTGCTGGGACTGCTGGCGAAAATTGCTCGAGCCGATGACTTCCTTACAAATTCCTTCAATGATTGCATCGGTGCGGATTCTTGGTCCTCCTGTCTCAAGCACGAGGTCCTCGCTTATCTGGATGAAAAATTGGGTATCACGACCGAAGCCAGATCACTGGATAGTGTGGATGAAGCACTGGTTTCACGTGCCTTCAAGTACCTGAAAACTTTCGAATACGGCGTTGATCTGCCGTTTATTGATGGTCGGCTGAAGTATCGGCCGGGCAGAAGTATCGCCGATCTCGATGTGGAATTCAAGAATAGTGAGGTAGCAACCTCTCAAGCAAGAGGAATACTAAAAAAGAAGCTGCTTTTGCCCTTTTTACTGCTGTTGAAGTTGAAGTTAAAAGCATTGATGCCAATTTTCGTAGCGATCATTGGATTTAAAGCTATGAAGGCGTTAATACTTTCTAAATTGGCGATTCTCTTAGTGATTGGGTTCATTGCGGTACAATTCTTTAAAAAGGGAGGCATGGCTGCACCCATGGGTGAGTGGCAGTTCTTCAATAAATCTATAAAATGATTGGTCGATTTGTTAAAAGTGCGATGTCCATCTACTTTTACCAATTAATTCATTATATTCGATAGAATTATATTATTCTGTCATTTGTAGTCATTTGAAGTTACTATAGGCCCGGTCTTTAGAAATTAAATAATATTTTTTTTAATTAATAGTGCGGACGTTGGACTGATTTAATGAATTTTATTTTCTAATTATTAAGATATTACACACACGTATTATACACAGTATTTAATTGGTACGTGTTTACGAGCTTAAAATATATAATCAACACTGTACAATTTATTACGATGATAATGAATATATTTACATCATTAATATACTTAAATTTTACTTTTAAAATTTTCATAAAAATTCAGGTATACTTTACTAAAAAATTTCATTTAACGACAATATTTAATGATCGACATAAATAAGCGACAATATCTTTTATTACCAAACTTACTGAAATTATTTCTCATTCTATGTGCAATTAAACCGATAATTGTTATTGTAATTATACGGCAATGAAACTTCGATCTTTTCGAAGCAGCATTAAATTTTTCATTATTTGCACAGGAGTAACGATGGAGCCAGCTCCGACATACGGCCTTCCTCCTATTACAACGACGACATCCGGTTATGAGCCGGTTAACACATGGGATGGTAATGGCCCTTATTCACGTATATGGACACCAAGCAATGGACTTGAATCGGCGCAAAATCTCGCCTACAACTACTACTCGGGTAGTAGTTCCAATTCGTATGGCGCACCCTCGTCATCATCCTCCGGCTCATCTTCAGCCGCCACGGGAAGTTCCAGCGTATCGACGAATTATTAGGAAAATTTATTATATTGGCTTATCAAGAGGAGACGGAGAAAAGCGATGATTTATTGAGAAAATAAGATATTCCGGAATAAAGAAACTTTCCGAATAAATATGATTTCAGAGTTCTGAGATAAATGTTTATTTGTATGAAATAATGATAATAATATTCATTTACGAAATATTGAATAGTTAAAAAAAAAAAGTACCGAAAGAGTATAATTATATATTTGATAGTTATTAAATTTTTCTGAAATTGACTGAAATAAATTTCACTGAAATAAGAAATTATTCATAACTTAAAATTTTAGACTAGTAATTATAGTAATCTTATTGTAAAGGTAAAATAATAATTTATATTACGTTCATTTATGACTATGCTAATTTCTTATTGTAATTTACAATTGACATAGATATTTTATTACCGTATTAAATATTGTTAATTATTTATTTTAACAAATTTAGTGTTTTATGTAATGCGAATAATAGGATAAATTTTCTAACGAAATATCTGGTATTCAATGGATAATAATATATTTCATTATAAATGTATAAATGTACCTGTATTGAAATTTCAAGGTTACTATTAATTATTTATCTAGTAAAATAATTCATCGATAAACGATAAAAGATAATTAGTAATTTTTTCAAACTTATGGCAGCACTTGTTTAATTGACGTGTTGTTATATAATTTTATACTACTAGTAATATGTAACCGGCAGCCGTTTATCTTGAAATATTGAAACTTGACAATTCGTTCATTATATTTTGTAACAGATTTAAGATTCTCATATCTTGTCTACAGCTAGTCCAAAGAAATTTGCACCAAATAATTTATATCATGTAAAATTCAAGCTTTTAACGTCTAACGTTTACATAGTTTTTGTTTGACAATGAAACCAACTCGTCCACTGTATTTACCTCCTTCCTTACTCATATACAAAGTAAATATTCATTATTTATCGTCGACTCTATACATTTGGTAATAAATTTATTTTTTATCAATTAATTGGTCAATTATATTTACTACCTGAATATACAATCTAAACATCAAATAACTCTTAAAAGTTTAAAACTAAAAGTATTTATTACAAGGATAGTAACAAGGATGGAAATGTCGATAAAATTTGTAAAAAAAAATTATATAAAAAAAAATTATATAAAAAAAACATAACTCTTTACATTAATATTAAAATAAAAAATTAAATATAATTAAATACACAAACGAATTCTTCCATAATATTAGAAAATATTACATTATATACCTAATAATAAAATATACTAATTATAAAATATATCAATAATAAAATACAATTATTTTTATAGATAAATATTTTTAACGTCAAATTGATTAAAATCAATATCAAAATCATCAAATCAATATCAAGATCAAAAATTAAATCAATTTTATAGTATTATAGAAATAATATTGTACTATAATTTGAGAAAAACATTAATACAAAAAAACGTAACAAAAGAGTTGATAAAAATAAATAATTTTAAATTTTAATTAACACTTCATAAGGAATAAAACTATTTATACTACATGTTTATCATATTATAAATTCCCAAGTAATATTTCCAATTACAATTTTATATTATAAATTATATTTGGATTATAAAGTAATAACCGAAATATTCATAATTACATATATGAATCTTCGTTGAACTATACATATATAAATTATGTATAAAAATAATGTAATGACAAATAATTTATAATTATTTAAATAAATCTTTGCAATTGTTATAAATAATTACGCAACAATTTATTTTGATAAGATGTTGCTAAATAAATCATAAAAATTAATCAGGACAAATATCTATAGATAATTTTTTTATCATATAATTGTTAACTATGAAAATGCGGAATGAAATAAATAAAATATTACAGAATTTTTTTACAAATCCAACGTAATGACTTATTCTAATAACTGACTTATAAACATTCTTGCGTCCATGTCTAATTAAATTTGTTTATTTAAGTTGGATATGCATTTAGTTTTTTAAAGGGACAATCTATAATACTTTTAAGCACTAACTTCATTTCCAAATATTAACGCAAATATCCCTTTTCTATTATGGGTTACGAAACATATTAATAAATGAGAGTAGTAAAATTCCGCTTGAATTATAGCCATTTTCATCAATTTGAAAATGGCTTTAAATGATCGTTTTATATAACAAAAATTCTATTTCATTTCACGTTCATAAAACGTCTCGACATTGATCGATACTATTATTACAAAATAGTCGTTATAATTATTAGAGATTTCTCAACTTCTTCATTGCTCTGTTTAATTTTTGATAAATAAACCATGGAGTTTGAATATTTAATATAATAAATTGAAAATTAGAAAGATGAATTAAAAATAAATCCATTCGTAAAAATCATTTTTCGGTAAAGCTTGGTTATAATTTATAAATATTAAAAAAAACTCTTAAAGTTCTTTTTTTATATTTTAATTGATTATAAATGCATGTGCTTTACGATACTTACGATACTTCCTTTTAGAAAAAAGTTTATTCGATTAAAACGAAACTTTGATAAAAACATAATTCTAGATATAGTTGATTATAAAATTATAAAATATCATTTAAATTATCATTAAATTCACCAATATATATATATATATATATATATATATATTGCAACAAAAATAACAAAAACAACAATAATAACAATAATAATAATGACAATCATAAAATAATAATAAGAATGATATTCGGTTTAAGTATCTTTATTAAAGTGAATAAAATTTTTATAATAAATAGCGATGAACATGATAATCTCTAAAATATATTAAGTTTCTATAATCGATCTAATGAAATCTAGATAATAATAAACGTTAACGAATACATCTGGTTTACCTATAGCACATGGTAAAACAAATGAGGAAATGCCAATAATTTTTTGATTGACTACAAATGCACTACCGCTATCACCCTGAAACATTTCGAAATAAGACTATATTAATAACAATTAAATATATTTTTAATTATATAAATAATTAAGTAAAGTAAATTAACAAATGAATTAAATTATAATTTAACACCATAAAATATAGTAGCTCTCATTTTTTTAGTAGCTTACCAAACATAATCCAACACCTCTTGTGAAAACTCCACAAAATTGTCCATCGTGTATGGAAAAAAAGAATGCCGATTTACAATAAAGTTTGTTAAGTACTTTCATTACAGTTTTTTGCAGATAATCAGAGAAAACAAACATTGGATAAGTTAATGATCCCCAACCACTTACAAGACCAATGGATCCAATTGGAATATCCTCAGTTGGGAGGTCTATTTTATTTTGATGACTATTAAATGTTAGGGGATCTTGCAACTAAAATGATCAAATTATTTTATTTCTACACATTATTTTAAAGTCTTCTGAATATAAATTAAAAGTAACTAATTGCATTATTATATTATTACAATAGTATTGTATTCGATCAATTTAACAATAAATATATTCAATTATACTTTGGTATAAATTTACCAATATTATTTGTACTTTTAAACTGCATTAAAGCTACGTAACGTAATAATTAATAGATTATCAATTGATACATTTTACGGATCTTTGGTATTTTAAAAATTTAGATTGTTTTAAAGTTACATTTTTTAATAATTATTATAATAAACAACTTCAAGTGTAGAGAAAATTAATTAATGATTCTAAAGAAACTTATCTTTATACATTTATATTATATATATATATATATATAACATACTTTGGTATACTTTAAAAATTTTATAATTATTTAATATAATTAAATAATACAACATTTTAAAAAAAAATTGCTAGACATACCGTAACAACAGCAATATCATGCACGTAACTCTCATTCCTATTTATAATTCCAGTGTATCCAGGATGAATATGGATACGTGTCAACTTGTAATACCTGTCGCCTACAGACGATATTGTATTGCTTCCGGCATAAACTACTATTTCGTCACTGGCATGTTCCATTCTTGCAAAACAATGAGCAACTGTGAGAACATGCCATTTAGTAATTATTGTACCAGCACATCCAAACTGATTAGTTCTTAAAACCCTCAAAGACACTTGGTGTGGAAATTCGAATATAAATGCAGGTTGCCCACCAATAATTTTAACATTTTTACTGAATGCAACTATAAAAAGTTAATAATTATCGGATATTAATAATTATATATATTTCTTAATGATTAGCGATTAAATTCATAAATTATTTTGAAAACATATTTGATTTCAGTCAGATTAGAAAACAAGACTTATATGAAGAGGTGAAGAGGTAAACGAAAATGTTAAGTGATAAAGTAATCAAATAACAAAAGTTATATATACAAGTTATATAAATAAATTGATTATCATCAGTATGGTTTTTCATATTAGATATTTTTACAATTTCGCATGTACGAGGATACACACAAAATTCTATAAATACAATAATTAGTGAATTTTAAATTTTATTTACTCTACATTGACGCTACTTAAGTTAATCATTAAATGTATATGTTTCATTAACTTATTTGTTTCTTCTAATAAAAACACCTTTAGTTGCAAGTAAATGTAAGAAAACATGTTTTTAATGAGCAGCTAAATTCAAATTCTTTAATTAATTTTAAATATTTTTAGATAAATTTTAAATTACAATTTTTAGGCGTAGAATTAATATATAAAATATTGATAAATTTTTAATTGTTTTCAATAATAAATTTAAATACATTTTATTACATAAATTGTTTATTTAAATTTAATTTAATTTCTTTTCGCTCGCTACTTGCTAATCGATCTCGAACATTAATGCGGTACTTTCCTTATAACACATTCATAAATAGGTCAAAAGAGACAAAGTATATATTAAACGAATATATTATATTATATTATAACGATAAAAAAAATGAAAGTTTTTCAATTTTACAAATGAGAGCCTTTTTTAATTCAATGATGATATTTAGCGAACATAATGGCACCAGTTTCTAGTGTTTATATGAAAAATTTGTGCTGCTTGTAGTACATAAGATCGACTTAAATATTTAGATTCTTAGCACTTTTATAATATAGAAAAATTGTGCACATCCGACTATATCGAAACTCAAGTTCTCGGAAACAGAAATGTGCGATGAAAACTGATATACAGGATGGATACTATAATGGAATAGATGTGCGATAACAAAAATCAGCGAGCATGAATAATCGATGGAGTTCGATTTTGAATTATTGGCTTCCGCTCTCCGGAATTCTGCGTTTTACAAAAGAAGGTACTAATACATTTATGCATCACTCGATTACGCATTCGAAATCACATTTGCAAACATTCTGTTAGAAACTCATACATACTTTTGCGAATAGGAGCATTCACTAGTACGCTTTTAAGCAGTCGACATTTACAATGTATCGGATTATTTATATAATTATATATGTATAGTCTTATACATAAATAATTATATTTAGTATTTTGATATATATATATATATATATATATATATATATATATATATATAATACGCCCTCTAAATAGTCGATATATTTCAAGGAAAACTAATATTTTGTAGAATTTCAACATTTTCAAGTGCAAAGAAAAAAGCACGAAAAAGTGATGTTTTTATAAAATTTTTAAAATATATGTATGATATACTTAAAAAAATTTTTACCAAAATGATACTAACAATGAAAAACACAATTTATTAACTATATTTGACATTAAAAAAAAACAACAAAAAAAAAAAAAGAACAGAATGAAAGAAACTCAAAATATTAAACATGTAATGATTCACTGAAATATCGCGATATTTTTATAGCAACGTGGTTTCCAAATATTCTAGATACCTCAACGTCGATATTAGATTCCATTGGGAAATAAAGTTCGTCATACCACAGTGAGTGGTAAAAATAAGGTTAGAATAAGTGAAGAGGAAATCGAGTTATTTACATATGATGAAGAGAAAAGAATCCTTTATTCAATCTCCGACTTAATTTTTAGTCCCTAGAGTTGCCATCGCCCGTCAGTATCAGCACTCTTTTCGTCCTGTGCATGCAATAAACTGTAGAAATTCACAAATAATAATAAATAAATCTCCATCTTGTATAAAAGATTTAGTAATTTGTTTAAATATTTAATTTTCCATGATGACAGAACCTATTTAACATCGTGTAAAATGATCGGGAAATGGTATAGAGATGTTGGCGCTTGTTCAAGCATAAAACAAAATAACACCAACATCTGGACGGCTATTGGAATATATGGGTAATATGGAAGGAAATCACAGTTTAATAGTATGTACTCATTTAACGACACACACAAAAGCACAAGTTGCATAGAGCTTGGTAATAGTCAGACGAGTAATGGACTAATGGAGAAATGGATCGGAATCAGCCCAACTGATGGCACGTCGACTTCATACTTTAGGATTGTAGCCTTAAGATGACATTGAGCCAATTCGAGGTCATACACTAGTATTTGCCCGTTATGATCGCAATCATAAAGAAGAAGATTTGCCAGCTGAGACTGGGGATGCAAGTACAATTTAACGGCATTATATAAATGGCTGTTTTAGTTCTTTCAGTGCTGCCTAGTAATAATGTAAATTATTACTGGCATACGAAATTCTGAGCTTTAGGTAGTAAATAATTTTAAAATAATTTTGAAATATTACAATTTATTAATAATGGCTTTGGACATTCTATGTGTTGAGTGCTAATTTTAGTCTACATTAAAAATAACTATATTTTGATTAATCATGAAAGTGCAAGAAAATATAATTTGAAATAAAATTTTGGTTATGAGTTATATGCGGTATGATGCACACAAGATGTGTTTGCTCCCTATTATGTTCATGGAAATAAAATATACCTTGACTCAAGCATATCTTAATATTTAGAATATTCAGCTAATTCTATTGAATTTGTTAACATTTTCAAACTATATACATTATTAAAAAATTAGATATTAAAATAGAATATATAAAAGTAAAATGTTATCGATGCATTGCCTTCACTTGTCTCAATATTTAATTCTATTTGTTTTCATTCTCTTCATTCCCTTAGAAATAAAGAAACGAATTAATGGAACTTTTAAATACAAAGCAATAGTATTGCATTTGAGAAAAATAGTTTAGCGTGAAAATACAAAATACGAAAAAACAACAATTTATTGTAATTGAGTCTGTGATGGAATAAAGTTATTTATATTTCAACTACGATCAAAAATCTTGAAATCATTGTATGGATTGTCATACATAAGCAAAAAAGTCCATGCAAAAATTACAACAGTATTTTCCATAATTTTTCCAAAACAAAATGAATTTAAAACAAATTTACATGATAATCCAACAACTTAAAACCAAATTCATTTAAAAATTAACATGTATTTTCGTAATTCAAGTACATAATATACACAAATATAATATTAAAAATTATTCTAATCGATATTCATATTATCAATTTTATCCAATAAAGAAGATTATGCGATGATTCGAACTCAAACTTTACAATATCCCAAAACAACCAATTGTCATTATTCCAACAACTAATTCTAACATGCATTCGAAAATTAGTTCAATAATAATAATATGCCAATGTTTATATATATATATATATATATATACAGCATATATATATATATATATACAGCATATTGCTAATCATAAAACATATGCAAAGGATTTCTATTGTATTTGGGGTATACGATGTTATAAAATACAAATATATTAACAAAACTAATAAACTAAACGCAATTAATGCATTTTACCTGAAATTATATTATTAATTGAGCCTCAAATTTTGTTGTTTAATAAACATGATTAAAAATTATTAGACAAATATTTTAATATTAAAATTACATTAATCTTAATTGTGATACAAATATCTTTATATTTATATGTTTTAATATAAAAAATATATATGTATTACCTACTTAAAAGAATTTTAACATTAGAATTTGTTTCAAATACCGAATAAAATTTGTCGTTAATTAACAATGATATTCAATAGTTCAAAAATTCGTTAATTAAAAAAATTCGGATATATTATGTAAATAAAATACTCTTTTATTTATTGAGAACTGAAGCGAATGGTAATAAAATTCATAATGATTACAGAAAGAACTGTATTGAACGTTGAATTGAGATTATCAGATTTTTCATGTATAAACTACAATTAAATTTATTCTATTGTTTATTGACTATTTATAGAGATTAAATAGATTTTCTGTTATAGTTATCGAAACATATTTTGTATATGAATCTTATGGCTTAACGCGATTATGTAAATTTCTAGAAATTGTGCCATACAGTTTTTTTAATCTAATGAAAAGAAAATGTAAAGAATATTAAATTTAAACTCTAATATAAAAGCAATATTGATTATAATTATTATTAATATTTCTAACGATCCGTTGTTTTGAAGAATAATAGTGGACAAATATCTATAGTCTGTTAATACATGTACAACTATTAATTAGTTCTTGACAACAAATTTTTTAAAAATTAGGAATTAAGCTACTTTCCTCACCGTATAATTATAAATAGTTGAATTATTTATATAATTATTGTCTTTGTAAACCAATAGATATAATAAACTAAAAATATGCCATTGTTTATGTTATATATTATTAAACAATGAATTATTAAATTTGCCATCCATTATAAAATGAAACAATAAATTTATCGATTGATAATTACAGTTTAACATACCATCATTTACCAGTAAACACAAAAAGGATAATACGGCAAAATTCATATTAACGTCAATAATAATAATCTATTATAATAATAATCTACTACTTCAAGTATAGAGATTTTATTTTTTAATGATTTTATACGATTTCATTTGAAATACAAAGTTTTTAAAGTTTTTTTTTTAAAACTTTTTAAAAGTTATAATTTATACTGCTTTTGAATCATTCAATGTCTATAATTTTATATATCTCGATATAAAGTGATTCAAGCTATTTAACAATGAAAACCCCAATTGTGTCTATAACATAAATTAGTAGATAATTTACATTTAATGTGAAAAGTTATTACATGACACTAAACTGGATTCAAATAAATATATACTTTTCATCATGTATTATTTAATCATAAAACAGAGATAATACTTAACACCTAAATTTTGAATATTAATTTTCTAAATAAATATATATTATTTATTATTAAAATACACTTGTGGAATAGTTAAAAAAAACCTTAAGCAATGTGTTATTATAATAAATCTATTTTCTTTATTCTGAAAATATAAATGAATACAAATATAATTTTCACTAATTTCAATCATTAAAATATATTTATAACATACATAATGTTTAAATATAATTGGATAAATATTACGTAAAGAACTTGAAAAAATCATTTATTAAGAAAATAAAATACAAACAATACCACACGAATAGTGAAATCATTACCTACTAGTTTTCAAGAAATTATATATATTTATTAACAATCTATTAATAAAAATGGAAACTACATTAAACAAAATTCAATGTTTGATTTATTGTAACAAAGTATTATACTAAAATAATCGTTATATATATAAATTCTTAATGTTATTTGTTGTTTTTATTTTTATTAAATAGAAATTATAATAAGTGTTGGAAATTCTATAGGTGTTAATATTATTAAAAAATATATCTCTCATATGTATGTGAAAATTCTGGCATATGCACAGAAGATGTATTGTAACGTGGCATTATAAATAAAAAAGCATTTAGGTTTGGAGTGAATGTTTATGCGCTTTGTCAGGATTTTATATAGATGATAATAAAGTAAAAGGAGGGACGCCGTCAAAGATACTTTTATATAAGAATGCAAAGATCTATAATCGAGACAAACTGATGTCTATCGGGATAGTCAATCGGTAATTCATAAGTTTCCTTAGCGACATTATTGAAGAGAAACGAAGTAAAGCAGTGGACGATTACAGCCCTCTCACAGATAACAGCGAACCGTTAATCACGTTGCAGTAATATAAAACGTCATTCAAAGTTCCTCTATAAGTATAGACTCTCCTGTTGTCACTAATTTCTTTCTTCTTTGTCCATTCTTCTTTTAAGCGTAGCTTTGCTCTTGTCGTTGAACCTAGCAGTGTAGCCAGAAATTTTGATTATGAAACGAGGCTACGCCTTTTAAGTCGTTCTATAAACTTTTCCGTTTCCTCTGACCACGCTTCGATGCCCACATCATCACCATGGGAGAACATTCATGAATCAAAGTAACGGAAAGTTGTCGATTCATTTATACGAACATACGGAGATATTTATTTTCTTCACAATTACTTCATTGTAATGTGTCATGTCAAAAAAGATGTTCGGCTAGTACTGAGAAACGACAACAAGCGGATGATAATCCGTATCGAAAATTAAAATAATAAAATTATTTACTCTGATACGAATATTACTCAAGTAGTTATTTACGCCAAGTATTTAGGTCATTGGAAAAATTAATTAATATACGTAACATCGTTTTTCCATTGTTCAAATGCTTTTCTTTCTGTTAAAAAATAATTAAGCATTTAGTCTTTCTCTTTTCTTAAAGGACTGAGCTTTTTACGAAAAGTATAATTCTTAAGTAGAAGCTGCCAAACAGTTCTTAATTTACCAAAATTTTAAATAACAATTTTAAATACATTAAGAAGCTATTAATTTTTTTAAGCGTAACAAAATTTAAGCATCTAAATCATTTTTGTATGAAACTAACTTCATATCTGTTTAATTATTAAACTATTTTAATTTTAAAACAACTCACTAAATATTTCAAGAATTTTCATATGGTTTATTCAGAAGTTTATAGTTTATTCTGTAGGAATAATCTGTATAATGATAATAAAGGAATAAAAAATAAGAATAATTTAATAAATTTTGATATTGCAATTTTATATTATATTATTTTCCTTGAAGTTTTAATTTCATTCTTAACTCTTTAATTTAAATTCTATACATTTACAGTACGTTGTTTCGGTACATTTACTTTACAGTTAATTATTGTATTTAAAAACGAAAAATGAAGAAAGGAATTAGAATATAAATTAAATATTTCCTCTAATAATTTGTTAATACGTGTGCGTAATAATAATAGATTCGTGCGTAATAATAATAAAAACATAACAATAAATCATGTGCGAATGATCGTAATCATGTTCCATCTTTCATGTCAAAAGATTATTATTTTATAATAAAACAGTATCACTTCTAACTCTATTTTTCAGAACCATAAATTATTTTAGCCATTTCAACACTTACATACAGATATATGGAATTTTTAATTAAGAAATAATCCGATATGTTTTGCCGTTTATACGCACAACTATTTAAATAAAAGAAAATCTTTGGTGGAGTCCATTATCTAAAAAAATAAAACAAAATAACAAAATGACAAAAAAAAAGTTGCATAAGATATAAATCTTATGAATATGTTTTCTAATGATATACCGATAATCATTTTAATTATGTATGTTATTAAACTTCATGCATGATTAAAAATAAACAGTTATGTGAATATAATACAAGCATTTACAAATTTGAGAACATATGTCAGCTGTATCTATAGTACAGGAATTCAAAAATAACCTAATACTAATAAGATTGCCTTTGTTACTGATAAATTATATCGTTACTCTACAAAATTGTAAAAATATATTATGATCCATGAAAAATTATCATAGTAAATAATTCATTTCTATCGTTCATAATTAAACTGATATTTTTCTTAAATAAATGAAAAGTTCTCAATTTATAAGTTTATTTAATGATATTATCTGTTTTAACTATAAATTATAAAGTTAATTAATTATAAATTTGTATAACTTTCATAACTCTCTACAAAACTCTGAATATCGATTCAATTTCTATAACATCTATTTTTTATTACGTATAAAGACCCCAGATACAATGGATATAATAAAACGAAATTATATATATATATATATATATATATATATATATATATATATATATATATATATAATCAAACCAATATACAAAATCAATACAATACCATTTTTAGAATGCCTATTTGCAATTGTAGAAGGAATAATATATTATATCTAACAGTCATTTATTGTTTACAATTGAGTTAACTTATAATTATTATTACATACTCTCTATTCAGTAGAATAATAACAATGTCGTTAAAATAAAAAAGGTATAAAAGAAATTTATTAAATGTATGAAACTATACAAAGTTTTACAAAAATTACCATGATAATTATAATAATATCGATCGTTTTAAGCATATCAGTTTAAACAGTCAATACTAATGAATCAAGATTATGAAAAGTTTATAATGAAAACTGATTAAGTACAGTAAATATAAGACTATTTAGTATATAGAGGATAAGATCTGTATTTTAAACCAATGTCTTCTAACCAAAATATATATTTTAACATTTTATATTAATCTTCTATTTAGCTTCTGCTTTTATTCATGACAATTAAGAATTTAGAAGAAAATTGCCTTCTAATTATAGCACAGCGCCTCATCCGAGCATTTCTAGCGAATCGTATCTGAAAGGTAATGTCAACATAATTAAATATACGCGCGCACGGCAAGCATCACCGATCCCACGCACAAGCGCACTAGCATAAAGTGATGCCAATATCACGTCGACACCGAAGCCGCGGAGCTCGAACCAGCACCGTCACTCTCGCCTGGATACCATGTGCCCTGGGGAGTACGATCGCACTCAGTGGATGTGACCCGGAGACTATGCCAATACAACTAGGCCATAACATTCAGGCATGGAAGAAGGATCAGGAGTTAATTACTGGATCACGGAGCGGATTCTGAGAAAACTATTACAAAAGTCGACATTCATATATTTGTCGTGTAATATATTTTTCATTTATATAATCTATAGATGAATATGTATATTTTATAATAGTTATTATAGAAGAAATTGAATAATACTTTATATGGATATTTGAAACTTTATAAATACTTGAACTTTATAAATGTAACGTTTTTATACACATTTTTTAAGAAATTTTATAAAATTGTGTTACATATCAAATACAAGGTCAATTTGGTTAAGATGAATACAATTTCATTACAAATTATATGATAAATATGTATTTTTTAATTATAATTTTAAAATCCATTGATTTAATCAGAGTCTTACTTGGAATTAATCGTACTTTTTATAATTATACATTTATCATTGATCATATTGATTACATTCACAATTTTAACAGTGTTGTGTACATATTATATTGTTTCAATGATGCACACTTTATCCGTATTTATAAGTATATATACATGGATTTAGTAGCAAATGCCATTTATTAGGGAAAAAAAAAAATAATATTTTAAAATACTTAGGTATGAACCTATGTAATAAGCTTCAATAAAACAAATACTAATGCTATATACGCATTTTACAAATTACTATATTTACTTCTTATGTAATAACGACTGATGGTCATAATAATTACAACATGTATAGACATTATTTTATATAGAAAAGTTTCATATCTTTATAAGTTTTATATACAGAAAATATAAAAATAATGTGAATTAAATTTATTGCTTAATGGATTGGAATAAAATGACAATATTAACATTAATATTCCAATATTTGTTCCATACTAATAAACTTATTATCACTATTATTTTTATACGTTTACATTCATAACAGCTGTTTAAACTATAAACTTTTAACTCATAAACAATTTATTTATATTTACTGCTTCTTAATCTTATTTTCTACATAAATAATTTATTGTTTTAAATTCTATTTACTTTAATTTGTTCGAAATAGTCATTCAATGAATATTCATAATATGAATTGCTTTAA